CTGTCTTTTTCCTCGTGGGTCCATCCACCAACTGCGATTTGTGTTTTCAGTTTTGGATTGATCTTCTTGAGAGCATTGATTCGTTTGTACAGATCCAAGTCGTTTTCCTCGTACTGTTCCAGTTTGTGAGTGGTACGGCTTACTTTACCAAACGAATGGATAACATGGGTACAGAGGAATGGATCGATGTCTTCAGGCCAGAAGGTTGCACCTTTAGGACGATACTGAGACCAGTTAGTGTAGTAACATACGCGCACATATTCTGATGCGATAAGAGGCACAAAGCCTAACAGGAGAAGCACTACAACTCGAGACATGATGCCCACTCTGCTTGAATGATTTATGGTCTCTTTCTGTCTTTCTATATAGTTGTTATATTATTTGTTCTTGGAATTTTGGATTGATATCTTGTCTGCATATTTAAACAGATTTTCCTCTCACATTTCTTATGTTTAGATAACGACTTTCTTCTGTGTACATGTTTGCTATCCTTCGCCGTCTTTCTGTATTTAAGCTTTCACAGGAGATGGAAGCCTTTCACCAGATGTTGCTCATGCAAATAGAGCCACCTCTTTTTAAGCACACAAAATTTCAATTCTAATCTAAGTGTCATTTCTTTGGAATGTTTTCAACGAAACAGATAAATTTCGCACTGTCCTATTCTGGAATTTGTTTCCAAATGAAGCAATAACCTTTTGCGTTAACATTTACCTATTGTATTCACACTTCTCGTTTAACGGTTGCTCACGAGAAGACCACACTTTAATATGGATACGAAATCAAATAAATTTATTTTCGAGAGAATGCCACGTACGAATGTTGTTTGAAATTATAAAAGGTCACGCCCAAGCTAGAGTTCTATTGTCAAGACAATACATTTTAAGTAAGAAGGGGCCGTAATATTTGTCTGCAATAAAAATATCTTTATTTACATTTTGTTTCGATGTCCGTGTGTTAAAGCCTTGAATAAAAACCATATCAGTAGAGTGATACGAAACTCGTTTCACGGTAAACTGGAAGTTTTGTCATTTTATCGACCCTGAATGTGTTGTAATAAGCAAATCACGTATTAAATGTTATAAGAGCTTGATATATATTTTTTATTCACTCGTTTTTCATATATCGCTCACTCGCTCGTTCGCGATGGAAACTCGTACGTGAACAAAAACAATATCAAGCTCTTAACATGTGATAATCTCTATATACCAAATATATATTACCAGAAAGGAAACTTCAAGGATCCCACAAGGTATTGGCCACTTCAGAAAAGAGCAGAAGACTTAGCCCAGACGGGGTACAAGTTTCCACAGTAACCCATTCTCGTACGCAGAGCCTCCTCATATCGAAAATCGGAGGCTCTGGGAAAATTAAGGCCTTCATTGCTTATTTCCCATATACTTTCTATAAAAAAGCCTGACAAAGCAACATTCTAACACAAAACTCGGCTACGCCTCGTGGTTTTAAACCCGATAAAACGCGATCTGCGAGTTTATTAAACACTACGTAAACTTGGTGAGAGATTTACATTTTATTTCTTTATAACAGCAATCAGATTATTCGTCATTTTATTATAGTTAGTTATAGATGGGCGAAACCTGTAATACTCTTTCATAACTACCCTGGGTGCGAACCTAAACTTAGGATTCGAAAGAAACCAGACTTTTTGTTGAAAACTTTTGTTTCATTTTATGTCTTTTGTTTATTTCCAACAAAACTCTGAAAAGGGTCTAGGTTCTCGCACAGTGAACAAACATAAAATAAGGTAATGGCTGGTAATACGATATTCATTTGCATCTGATGTAAAAAGGCGTGTGTGTACTGAAAATTTGGATACAATATAGTGTAATATATTAAAAGTCTATGGTGTGATTTTAGACCCCGTTTTCAGGACGATAGTGCTAGCGATACCATAGGAGTAGGTATCCCAAACTAGGGGCTATTTTCAACCAAATGTTAACCATCTTTCATCATTAGTCTAAACAAATAACATCTGGAGAATTTTCGTCCCTCTGTTCCTTTCCGCTCTTAGACTGCTCAGAGGTATTCTCAGGGCGCTGGTTTCTTGGAGATGTTGACTGACTATTCGATGCAACTGTACTGCTTTGGCGTGCATCACTTTGAGAGGGACTCTGTGGATTACCAGGGCTTTCAGACCGTAGCAAACCCATAGCAGATGCCTTGCTTCTGATAATCGATGTCAATTGATTGTCTACGAGAGCGCTTGCCTTTTTACTCAAGACAGGTTGTTTTGGAGCAGATGTCCCTTGGGTGCTGCCTGAAGAGCTTGGAGGAGTGAGGCTGCGTGGTGTTCCAGATGGACTGCTGGAAGGACTGAGACTGTATACACTGTTGATCACAGGACCCAAGGGCTGTTGTGCCACAGCTGTGGGACCTTGAGCAAGAGTTGATGTTCGAGGAACAACCTGTAGGACCTGTGAAGACAGCACGGAAGGGGTACCAGGACTTGTGATCAAGGTATTGACATATGGAGTCGGTGTTGCTGACATCAACGGCTGTGTTGGTTTGGATGCAATCATAGGGGGCCCTCCTCTTCCAGTTTGCACCACTATGCTTCCATCATGAGCAGGACCAGTGTTAGAAGAAACATTAGCAGGTAGCAGGAGAGTGGTAGGGTGGGTTGGTTTAACAGAAATGGTTGCTGCACCAGTTGCTTGATAAAGAACCCCACCCTGTGTAAAATATGGCTGGGAGGTGTAACGAGGCTGTGACGAACTACCTCCTTGGGTAGTATAATAGACAGAGGACCCTGCAGCCTGAGTACTAGATGTATTATGATCTGTGCTACTTCCACCTGACTTGGCCAGTCTACTTAAGATACCACGTTCAGACATGTTCAGTCGACCACATACAGATGGCATACGTATCAAGGTGGATGGCAGACGGTTTACATCAGACTTCATGTCTGCAAGAAGCTCTTCTAGCTGATTGAGCACTACAATATTACAGAACAGATTGTTAAAACAGGACACCAACATACGAAAGTGAAATTTATATAATTTTTTTTATATCCTTTCATTCACTTAATTTAAAAAAAAATGTTTTTGTTTTTGAGATTACAAGTTTTTGTGACACCATGAACAGAACTCGAATTCAGGAAAAGTTTATTGTGAAGTAGAAATTCCATGGGCCACAGTTAAACGATTCTTAACAATAGACTATGAGCAGCTTGATACCTTTATGGAGTACTGCATTAGCAGGTTTGTTGCCTGACAGGGATTCCTTTGACAAATGTTGATGACTCTCAGCAAGACATTCCAGTTCAGCAAACCTGGCGAGACGTGAACAGTTTAAAAGATTAGTCAGTAGTTCAGTAGAAGAGGAGGGAGGTAAGATAGGCAATAAAAGATGTCAAAAGTTCAAGCTTTCATATGTGTAGAGTCTGAGTACACTTTTTGTGCGCCCTCCTTTAAGAGCTTTTAAATCTGCTCATAACTTGCTAGAGTCAACTTTCATGTGTATCTTAATGGGTCGGGTCAACGGGTTGGGTCGCTGGTTCGAGCCCCGTGGTCGCCACATGTGAATTAAGTTTGTTTGATGCGTTTTTCTCTCCTATGCTTACGAGGGTTTTCTCCAGTTTCCTCCCTTCGTAAAAATCAACATGTGAGTTGTGCGTTGTTTGCATAGAACATTGAATGAAGTGGTAATGCGTGTGAGTGAAAAGTGTCCCTAATTAGTGCGAAAGCACTAGAACGACTAGAATTTTAAATAAAGCGATTTATTTATTTTATTTAATGGAATTGAAGTTTGGTTTGTGGTAATTGTTGACTTGCTTTACGTACCTGGCATTTAAAGCCATCGCAGGATGTTGTGACTCCTGCTTAAGGTTGAGAGAATCAGCTCGTCGGAGCTGTTCTTCGATGATCAATGCTTGTTCTAGAAGCTAAAAAATAAAATAGTAATAAAATAAACATGTTAGTATACTCAAATCAAGAACCTATCAGTACTTCTGCCATATTGAAGCCAAGAGGCTGCTCTACAACTAAATATACTTTTTGTAGCTAACCAAAAATAATAATAATAGTAATAATAATAATAATAATAATAATAATAATAATAACCATAACCAGACAGAAAAGACAGTTGAAATCTAATCCTTGTTTTCCTATTCTTTTTAGACTTCTTTGAGGGGACGTGGTTTATATTTGTTTATTAGTAAAACCATACATCCAAGCGAAACTATTTGTAATTAAATGCACGTTGTAAGTCACTCACTGACTTGTATAGATATCGATATTATTATTAGTATCGAGCCTTAATTTGATTATAGAGACACAATGATTTCAGTACATACCTTAAAACGTCTAGCTATAAATCTGTTTTTGTATTCCAGGGAAACTAAAACGATCAAAAGAAATTCAATCTTTTGAGGGTGGGAAAAAGGGATATTTTTGGGATGTATCAAGCATCACATACAATCAGTATATCCATTCTGAATTTGAGGGGGGGGGGGGGGGAAGTTGGCATTCCAAGATGGATGCAGTGCATTGAGATGCATCTAATTTCTTTATCAAAACAGAACCAAAATGCACTGCAATGCTAATTCGACCCAATAGACCGTTTTCTCAAAGTTGCGCCTGCATCCAACTTGACGGGCCACAAAACTGAAAAACGCAAATTCAGTAAATTTGAGAAGCCAGTTTTATAATTAAAGAGGAGAATAACCAATTTTATGAATTCTTATTTAAAACATGTCATAGAAATGCATGATAATACTCATCATAAAGCTCGTGTTCTGGTATCGTGGCCCTTCAAGTACCTTAAATTTGGATGACCACGCAACCTTGAGAAAACGGGCTATTTCGCTCCTCAAATTTGGAATGGCTATTAACCAGACTTGTTATAAGATTAGATTTTTGACATGGAAACCTTGAACAAGATAATACAAATAAGATAATGGGATATACCATGACTTACCATTCTTGAATGGCTCGTTGATAACAGTAAACATGCGGTGATTTGCTATATCTTGCCATCTGGCATATCCATGACTAGGAACGGATGTCAAGGTCATCAACTAATGTTGCATAACTACCACAATATTTAAAACATTTTCACCAATGCCACTGTACCGATAAATATTGATTCAAACAGTGGGTTAGTCGTGCCTAGAAGGGTTTAATGGTTTAAAGGCAAGGCAAGGCAAGGCAAGGCAAGGCAAGGCAAGGCAAGGCAAGGCAAGGCAAGGCAAGGCAAGGCAAAGGGAAAGGAAAGAGAAAATAAAATAAAAAAAACACCGAACAACAACAGTGCCATAACACGATCTATGTTGTATGTCAAGGATACTAAGCAACACCAGCTAGTAACCAGTAGTCATGTTTCCGCCACCAAATGTCGTCTGATTTCCTCTTTTCTTCCACCTCCCATAAGGTGTGTAGCTCGGTGAATCCACCATCAGCTATGTTGAACATGAACTTCCTATCTGGTCGTTGCAGAGATTCCAAACTAGCCTTCTTAAGAACATCTTGCTTGCTATCAGTGTCAGTTTTCTCGGCACCTTTAGCTTTCTGCTGTACATCTTCAGTGTTCAGTTTATCTTCAGAAGTTTGAGATCCATCCTTGGGTTCGTTTTCTTCTTCCTTGGTCACCTTGGTGTCGTCTTTGGCGCTAGACTCGTCATCCTTTTTAACGTCTTTCTCTGAAATTTCAGTTTCCTCTTTTTTGGTCTTTGCTTCCTCCTCTTGCTTCTCCTCATTTTTAATGTCATTCTTTTCATCCTTTTTATCTTCATCAATAGCTATTTGCTCACTTTTGACAGATGTTTCTGGCTTGTCCTTTTCATCTATAGATTCTTGTTTGACTTCTTCATTTATCTTTTCCTGATCATCACTATCCTGGACTTCCATGGGTTCCTCTTCATCCTTCGCTTTATCTTCCCCGTCAGCTTTCTCCTTGATGATTTCATTATTTTCTTGCTCTTCTTTTTCTTCTTCTTTCGCATCTCCTTTGTCTTCCTTCTCATCATCATCTTTCTTGACGTCTTCATCCTTTTGCATTTCTTTCTTTTCCACTTCTTCCTTATCATCTTTTACGTCTTGTTCTGTCGCACCAGTGCTTGCTTCTTTGATGGGTTTTTCCTGCAATTAACAGTGCATTCATCAACATTACTTAGTCAGTGGAACTCGCATGGGAACCAAAAAACACGTGGGAGAGCTGTTCGCTGGAAGATATTTAGCAATATTTTAAGACCGATTGCGCTATTGACTCATAGACCCATATGAGCGAGAGCACTAATTATTTTAATCAAATCCAATTAGTCAGTAAGAAATATATATATTAGATGCAAAAAAGTTTTGAATTAAAAAGCAAAACAAGGTTTCRTTCTTTAATATGCCATTGCAAAAATCTCCACTTCTCAACGTGTATCATTCTTTCTGTTGCTCAGGGACAGCCTTCATTTTGTGTACATATTTGTGTGTTCCTGTCAAGATTTCCATGCAATTTCCGAACCTGTTTAAACATGTTGAAGTTTTGCATGATTAACCATTTGTATTTGTGGATATTTTGACGCTCAAATGAGGCTTATCCCGAGTAAATGAGTCTGTAATMAAGAAAACTACACAGCGATATGTCATAAAAGAATTATTCCATATAAGATTTCTCACCTCTCCTCCATCATCTTTTTTGATATCTGGATCGTTATTGACAGGAGTAGATACTCTAGAGGATGATTTACTGGATGGTGGCTCCTTGACTGGAGCACCAGTAGCTGTGCTATCCCAACCGTTGATAGGGGCGAATTCTTCCACCTTGATAAAGAAATAATCAATATACGTTATTTGTGGCGTGACAATGATTTTCTAATTGAGCGTGACAAACCTCCAGACAAATAAATAAACAAACAAACAAACAAACAAACGAACGAACGAACAAACAAACAAACAAATTATTATTATTATTATCATTATTACTATTATAAAGTTATTAAGTAATATCTATTGTTTTGGGCTGACTAGCGATATCGCCACATTTCAATTCGGTGCATGATGAATAAGAATACTACACTTAACGAATCCTCAGAGGAAATTTAATGACACAATCCCTTGCAATTAGACGCTTGTCCACTAACCTTGCGCCGAATCAAGCTCATAATGCCTATCCTGGTCAATACTTGTTGACGTTGTAAGCCTTCACGAGGTACACCATCCGTAAAGGTATCCTTCGCATCATCTGGCTCACACACATGCCGTAAGAACATTGAACAATACGCTCTGTAGAGAAAGATTACGATGGTTATACTTGTCGCAAATTCCAGAAATAAAGCAAGTATGATTCAACACTTTACTGCTCTTGCTACAAATATTATCTATGTTTTTACTTACTGTATTGCTTTTTCTCCTTTGCCACGGAGGTCTCTAACAAACCTTGAAAAAAAATCAGCATTGATTACTAAGGTTCCAACAATATTTTGACTAGCCTAGGTGGAGGGGCTGGGGAAGGGAATTCTAATAAAATCTATTGATGTATTTTTGACTTTGAACTGTAATATATCAAAGATAGTCCATTCAATAGGCATACCATTGTGACTTGGTAAAATCCTTTTGCGGTGGAAGTCCGTAACGCATGACAGCATTGAGGAAAGCTTTGCGTTGACGTAAACTGAACCCATATACCTATAACCATTAAACACATTTTATAAATCATTTCTGAAAGAAGGGTGTTATTCTAATGAACGGACGGACGGAAGGAAGGACAGACAGAGATAGACAAACAGCGCATCTATTTATTAGTTTTCCAACCAAGTCAGCATCAATACAAATAAATGAAAGCAAAATGCAAATTTACAACGGCAAAAAGAAAAGCTTCTGACAGTACATTGAAGGTGTGGCCAACAGGATACAAGTTGGGATATATAAGTTCTGATGGTTGTAAAAGGACTGAGAGGTGGACACTGTCATGATTTTCTTAAATTACAAAAATAACTCTACTTGACGCTTAGGTGGATTAATAAATTATGTAAACATTTTCAACGTAATAAGTAAGGCAAATATATGTAGAGTTATAAGCAAGTTATAAGCCCCCCCCCCCCCCCAAAACATGAAAAGGAGGCTGCAGCTGGCCAGGCCTCAGTTTTCTGTAACTTTTTAAACTTGTCATCGCTTATCACCACCGCAAGTACAACAGTGGCGCAGCTCAACGGGGTTGAACTGAAAGCATGTGAAGGCGCCTGTGGCAGCCGCTATACAGTCCATGTATGACCCCTGAGCACAGCTCTAACCAGTTTGAATTAGTTAGGGTTGATTTGAGAGGAGGGAGGAAAAACCGGAGGGCCGGAGAAACCCTCAAAGTCAGAAAGAGAACCAACCAACTCAGCCCACATGGGGCGACTGGAACACTGAAATTTTGCCCAACTAAGAAAGTATGTATGCTGGCTATAATGACTTCTGCGACGAAGTGAAAAGACATGTTCCTTGTGTATGCTACTAATTCTTCATAAATTACGCACCTTATGTTAGAGTTAGGGCACTCAAACCGCTTCCAAGTTTTTTCAAGGTTATAATTTCCTACTGTTTCAAATCCTCTTACATAAAGCATTGAGTTTAAACGCATAGAGTGATCAAAGTAAAACTTATTTCCAACCTATTTGCTTATAAGGGATTATTCACAGCATGCATTTTACGAAAAGTGACAAAAACCTCTGTTGGTCACGGTTTTCATGTCGTCACTGTAATACTACCTAGTATTTTTATTTACAAAGAATGCATGTTTATATAAATTGTGATGTGATTATTACCTCCAGGTTGCCCTGTACTTTGGCAAGCATTGGGGGTAAAACATCGTCTCTTGCAACTCTTCCTCTTCTGGGTCGACCTTTAAATAAAGGGTGTATAATTTAAAGCAAATACCTATTCCTGCTGAAAGGATGGATGGTTAGGAAGTTGAGGGATTTACATGGGGATTTATGGGAAGCACTGATATGAATTCTGGTCCCTCCAGTTCCCTTCTTTTCAGTTCTCGCAAGTCTCTTGGTCGGGCAATCTTGATGTACTCTTGTGGCACAATTATCATCTCTGAAATTCTTGGTCGGGCAATCTTGATGTACTCTTGTGGCACTCTTAGTCCCAACGGGATTAATGAACGCTTTCCTTTCAACTAACCCATTCTTTTGTCTTTTGATTTTTTTTTTTCGTTTCCTTGCCCACTTTGTTCTCATTGGTTTCTTTTGTCTTATTCTATCATATATACACTCCTTTCTACCACCTCTTTCTCTTTTACTCCGACGAAGGACTAGCGTCCGAAACGTCAGTAAGTTTTTTCATCTTTTCACGGTGTAAAATTTACCCTATTATCATTACAGTCTTGATGTACATTATTTTGCAACATGGCAGCCTCTAGCTGGGATTTAGCAAAACATTTAGGCTGGTAAATGGGATTAGGACTCTTCCTTCAGGACCCTCTTTTATGGTACAATAAAAAGTAAGGGAAAAAAGTAAAGCAGTTTTACCTTCAGTCTTTTGGTTAAATTCCTCATCAGATTCATCTTCATCTTCTATCCCACTAAGATCATCATTCTCGAAATCAGACATGTCCTTGGCCCAAACTGCTGTGACATGGCAATAAACGTTCGTTATCATCCCATTAAAATAATCCTAAATACTGATTGCAGGCATCCCAGCCACTTTTTAGACATATTTGATAGGAAATATAGGCTGTGCAAGTTCTAAATATAGGAAAATATAGGATTTTTCCCAAAAATATATGCACTTTATAGGAGCTAAGATAGCTTTTCGGGGCGTAACCAGGGATCGGGAGGGTGCACAGGCAATGATTTGCAGAACTAAAAAGCCATTAAAAAAAAAAACCAGAACCAAAAATAAAAAATAAAAAAAGGGCTATTTTATTTCCTTCGCCAAATATGCTAAATAGTGTAAAATATAAATGAATCACTCAGCAGTTGTCCTATTTATAGGAAATATAGGAGGTTTTCTTTAAATATAGGCTCTTTATAGGATCCTATACAAATTATAGGAAATATAGGAGGTCTGGGATGCCTGTGATTGGGATTATCCTAACCCATCAGACCCAGGACAGGTGCAGACCCAGGGGGTGACTAGTTGTCCTGCACTACCCCCACCCCCCCCCAAAAAAAACCTGCTTCAGTTTTCAGTTGTTTGTTTCACTTAAAACTAAGATTATTGATATGGTTTATTCAAATCTCTCAAAATTATTTTCCTTAAATTTTTCAAAGGAATAATTTTCCAACATTTTACCGTTTTTTATGAGTTTCCAGTTATGTAAGCATGCTCATACTTTGCCATACTCATGATATGTTTAACAGTCACCCCATTAAAAAAAATCCTGAATCCGCCCTGCCCTAAAGCTTCCACTAACATCCACTAACAGAATTGTGAAAGGAATAATGGGCTAAAATGGCCAAGAAGCAGCTAACAGTAGTTATTATATCATTCAAATTATAAAACCTTCTTTGAACTTAGCTTCTCATTTTAAAAAGAAAGGCACAGCACGGTTAAATGCTTCATTATGGAGGATATCAGAAGCTATCATTTAATGAGCTATTTTCTGGTTATTTGAATGAGCAGCTTTTTGACAAACCTGAATCATCATTGTCTTCAGTGACACCATCAACATAGTTAACCTGAATATTTGAATACAAAAAACGTTATGTCTTCATGAGCCACGAACAGGAAAATGCAACACTGATACTCTTAGGTGCTTTTTTCGTGTGCATGGTATTATATCAAATATTTAATGTGTAGTTTTTCTTGGAACAAATCCTAGCTCCAGGCAGGGATTGAACTTATGTACACCTTAAAAAGCATTTTAGAACTCATAAGAAATTAACCCTGTGCGCGATCCAATACTTCATGTTAAGAGTTTTATTTATCTTAGTACTTTGTAACTTTAATTTTTGTATTTTGTACTATATTTTCTGTCTGTAAGTTTAATTTAAATAGAGCCACATTCAAACCAGCTTTGCTAAACTGGGCACCTCTGTATAAATATCGTTGATGAATAAATAAAAAAAAAAAATAAAAAAAAATAAATAAATAAATAAAAAATAAAAAATAAAAAATAAAAAAATAAATAAATAAATGTTCAGGTGTTCTTACCACTGAGCTACTGGAAACTTATGAAATTGCTCTAAGTTAGTATATAATAATATAATGAATATCTGGGCTGTATACTACCAAAGATGGTAACCTAATGCTAAGGTCACTGGCCCTGAGAACCCTTAATTAATCTTGCATGTCCTGACCAGCAGACATTGCCATGGTTACCCTGTTAAGGTGACAGTCTGCTCAATAGCTAGAGGTTACAGAAGACCTCGCTGATGAAATCAGTAATCAGTCTACACCAAAGTAAACCTCTGACATGCGTGATGTGTACAGCTTAAAGGGTCTGTATAGTTTTTTAATCCTAAAAATTCTTGCATAGGCGAGGCTATTTTAGATTTTGTTGTAGCAATGGCTTAATAGCAATTCCGCGGTTGAGCAAAAACTGGGTCAACTTGGATTTGCAGGCCATCTTTGGACCGTTTTGGGGGGCAAAAGAAACTCAATCAGGGAACAGTTCCACAATGCACTGCAATGCCAACTGGAACAACTAATGGTGTTGAGAAGCCCTCGCTATGTGCCATGCTTCTCCTAACACTTCTCAAATGTTCTACTAAGCCACATACAGGGTTTTCATTAGGTTTGGAAATAACAGGAGAAAAGAGAGTAGGAGAATTTTGGTTTATTGTGTAGTTCCAAAAATTATCCATACCCCCCCCAATGGAGGAATTTTTTAAAGACATCCCCCTACCCCCATAAATTTTAATTTTCTTCCATACAAATTTTGTAATTTTTGTTCTTTCTCTGACATCCCCACCCTTCGGAAATTCTAAATTCCTCTGTGGGGTGGGTAAGGATAACTTCTGGAACTACACAATACTGAAAAATTATCTGATCTGAGACCCTTGATAAAAATCCTGTTTGTGTGCTTTTTAACTGGAGTACGAACATGACATGTGCCTTTTTTATTTCTTCATGATCTACAAAATTAAGAGCATTTGAACATTAAACTAACCTGTTTCCTGATTCTCTTTCCCTTGCCAAGATGTCGTGCCTCATCTTCCCTGTACTGCTCATAGTGGTGACGCAGCAGTTTTTCCCAGTAATCCTGGTCAGCTTCTTCTGGTGCTTGCTACACAAGACATAACAGATGCATATTTAATCAATCACTCACAAAATTGATTTTTGTGGAAGAAGGAAAACCAGAGAACACGGAGGGTCATACTACTCACTGCTACGCCAGCCATGCTTCCAATTGTGGGAGGGAGGCATGTCAGTCAAAGACCGACACTACTATTAAACTATTGTCTGCACATTTTATTCAAAGTTCCGACTTAGTTACCATTGTTGTGTCCCACAAGCTTAACGACTGTTAAACTGTTTCAAATGT